CACAAACTTTTCCATTGTAATGTGATATAGTTTTACATTCAACACAACTCCCTTCTTTAAGTTCAAATGGTGGAAAACATTGTGTGCATTCTGGGTTATTATTGTTTTTATTTTGACATAATTTACAGTTGGATTTAATGTTATAACATTCATCACAAGTATTTGAAGTATTTTGATAAAGGTGGCTAGGACATTCGCATTGATTATTATTGACCACAAATCTATCTTCACAAGAAAAGCATTGATACTTTACAGTTTGGCTACAAGTTTTACAATTTGACATTTTATTACATGGAGAACAACGTTTTTCTTCTGGAAAATAACCAAATTTGCATTTTTGACATCCGTTCACGACATCACACATATTATTTTCACAATTTTCATCACAAGAAACACATTGATTATTGTTCAAATATCTTCCTTTTCCACAAGTCAAACACCCATTATAGAGATTGTTCGAACACGTCAAACAAGTTCTAAAACAGGGAGAACAACTTTTATTTTCAATAAAATAATGTGGGTTGCATAGAGTACATCCAGTGGTGTTTGTACATTTGTTTTGAACACAATTTGTATCACACAAAATACATCTTCTCCCAACCAAATAACTTACTTTGTCCCTACATGAAAGACAATCAGTATTTGCACCATTATCACATGTTAAACATTCTTCGTGACATTTCAAACAAGACTTATTTTCTTTATAATAACCAGATATGCATTCGGTACAACCATTAATTGGATCACATTTGTTATCTAAACAATATGAACTACATGATAAACACATGTTATTCCAAATGTAGGTTCCTTCATAACAAGATGTACAATTGTAATTAATATAATTACACGTTTTACAATATGAATCACATATAAAACATTGTTTGTCTAGGTTGTAGTAATTTGTTGGACATTCGGTACACCCAAGAGTATCTTTGCATTTACCAGAAATACAATTTTTATCACACAAATTACAAAATCCATTATCAAGATAAGAACCACTTTTACAGGATGTACAACTTAAGTTTCCATTGCACGTTTTACATGAAGAGAGACAACTAGCACAACCATATTCATGTGTGTAAAAACCAGGTTCACACTCAGTGCAACCAAATTCATCTGAACATTTTCGACTTACACAATTTTGATCACAAAGAAAACATGTTCCGTTTTGAAGGTAGTAATTTGATTCACAGGTTGAACATTGATAAGAATTGGGTCCTGAACAATATATACAATTTGGTGTACATTTACCACATCTTTTACCTTCTACATAGTAAGTACTTTTACATAAAGTACATCCATTTTGTCCACATGTTAAACAATTCATATCACATAGTGAGCACCCCGAGTTTTCTTGATAATACCCATCCATACATAATGTACATCCCCTTAGCGTGTCACAATTTGTACAAAACTGACAAACCAAACACTCTCCATTAAACAAATAATTTCCAATATTACAATCTGTACAATTTATATTATCACTACATGTTTTGCAATTGGCGTTACAAGGACTACAAATGGTGCCATTTAAGTACTGTCCATTATTGCAAGCGGTACACTCGTTACCATCTCCTCTGCATTGTTTACATGTTGTATTTTTACAGCGAGAACAAGTCATAGATGTGGTTAAATAATACCCATCGTTACATATTTTGCAAACGTTAAAATTACTATCCATACAACTTACACAATTTGAAACCAAACAACCTGCTCTTTTACTTGTTGGTGTTATGTTTTTAATATAATCGCTAATTACAATATTTTTTCTTTCTTTTGTAAATTTCAAAATTAGATTTTCGTTATAAGGGATTTGAATTAATAACTCTGTTTCAATGTCACATATTATTAAAATATCACTTTCTGTTTCTCCAAGAAATAATTCAGAACGGTCAACGCTCCACTGATAAGAAGAAGAAGAACATTTTTGGTCAGTTTTAAAACACATTATCGTTTTATCTTTTTTACACCATTTTAGACTGAAAGAATAAGTGAATAAAGTAAACAACACAAGCAGCATGTAAATACTAAAAAATAGATTTAAAGTTGATTATTCATAATTTTTATAAAACACGATGTTTTTGGTACCTTCTTCTTGTCAAAGAAAGCAACAATTTTTATTTTAAAATTTTGTGAAAGATCCATATTTTTTTAATATAAATATTTACATAACTAACTATATATATAGTAAAACGATAAAAATATATAAATACTTGTCACATTCTTTATAATTCTAAAAATTGAAACTGAAAATCCAAATTTTTATTTTAATTATTTTTTAAATGGCTTTGTAACTGATTCACATCATTACAAAATACAGCCAATAACAATATTTTGTTGGTCTTTTAATATAAATTTTTGAAAATTATAACCCATATCGAAATTTCAAAGTTTTTGAAAAAATCTATTCAATAAATATATTTAAAAAACTAATAATAGTACTGAATATCAAACAAAACACAGAATTTTATAATTACTACATAATAGATGAAACATAATTAAAAACATAAACTGCTTCTAATTGTAACGTTTTTAACAATATTATTAAAATTTTATTTATGTTTAAATGCGTTTTCTGTTTGTTGTGTCAGAGAGTCGATTGAACCACTTATAGACAAGGTATACACAAAATACATCACCTTTATTAGATTTTAGTGTTGATATGCCAATTAATTAAATGAATATAAAAACAATTATATTCGAAAATAAATACAAATTAATTATAAAACTACAGTTGGTGTACATGCAACACAAAAAACAAAATAACAGTCTCATTAAAAGTCGTCTCGTAACGGCCAAAAGACGCCAGTCTCTTTACAATTGATTGATTTTTTTATTACCTTATTTTGGTGACTTCAAAAGTTCGTCCACATTGATTCGTATGTTTTTGAGTTGACAATGAAAATACCACTCATATTTTATATTGCACTTTTAACAAAGATTGTTGACAACAGCATTACAGACATGATTGAAATTTGTTGTGGCAGTGTTGGTATTATAAAGAAACATACAATGGAGCACAATTGTTGTAAAGAGGATCAAACAACACAAATAAGTCGAATAAAATGCGTTTCATAACTAAAGTTGACATGTTTTTCATAAAAATCCTTTTATTTAATTTATTGGTGTTGTATTCCAAATTAGAAAACATATGATTGTCATAGACAATATAAAAATAAGAGTCTGGATTAGATCATCAAAAAATATAAAATTAAATAATATTTATACATTTCATTAAGGTAAAAGAAAAGTTTTAAGACTTTGGAAGTGCAAAAACGTGATTTTTGATATCAAATTTGACATTCACAAAGGGTATTTGTACATGGCACCCGAGTTTTTGAATGTGCAAAAGCAATCAATTGCATTATATAAATAATATATTCGCTTGTAATAACTTTATTTAAAACTTTTGCTTAAAAATGTGTTTGAAGACGTGAAATACTTTTTAAGATATCCGAGCTGGTCTTCACTGATAAGCGATCAAATGACAAACGTTTGAATGATGATGAAAGAAGTTTACAAGAAAAGATGTGGATACAAAAAAAGAAAATAAGAATCACAAATAAGTAAGTTGTGGATATTACGCAAAAAAAGTTTGACGAAGAAAACGAATGAAACGATGTTTGTTTTTAAAAACTTTATTCCCCTTTTATAATATTTTGTTGTTTTAAATTTGATATAACATTGGAACATTATCTTGATGTTTTATTTTAGTGTGATAATAACAGGAGAGACTTTTTAAACCAGCACAATGTTTTCCATAATTAACTATTTGCTGTAATATTTGAAAAAGTCAGTCAACATCTCAACCCCTGTTTGTGTGTGTCTATTTCACCTGCAATGAATTAAATAAACTCAATTTTAAACCATGTAAATTTATTTCAATGTTATTTTGAATGTTAAAAAAAACACGTTCTAAAACATTCAAAAGTCAGTTCATTAAATTTGAGTTTAGTTATAAAAACTTTATATTCAATTTTTAAAGTTGATTAAATTTATACAAAAAGCGAGAGTGGCCAAGTAGTATAAAGCGATTTTACCATGTATGAGTCTTTTTGAATGCTTAGAATCGAAACTTACTTTTTATTCTTTTTTTTAATTTAAAAAAGAATCAATTAAAAAAATGAGTTTTGTAATGATTTTATTCATCACACTTAAATTTAAAAAAACTTATTAATGAGATGGGAAGTTTTATTTCGAATGAAGTTTGTCCAGAAAGTTTAAAAACAGATGAAGAAAAAAGCAGTTATTTGATAACTAAATTAAAAAAATGGAGTTCGTGCCAAGAAATGAATATTATATACGACAGCGACCTTCAATTTATCCAAGGAAAAGACTGTAATTTTTGTGAAATGGTTCTTAATAAAGAGAACTTGTATTATATCATTATCACAGCAAACGATTGTGTTGTGTGTGGTTTTGTGAAGCCGATAATATCCGAAAAAGAAGAAAATTATGTATTGGGTTCAGACATATTTTTAGCATCACTTGTAAATTCCAATGGAGTGATAACCGCAAAACAATACATTGGAAAAAATGATGCGTTTTTTAAACTTGGAAATAATTTGGACTGTAATGTTTTCCACTTTGGGCAATTTGATATGACTCTAATCAGAGAAACCGATTTAAAACAACCAAAGTTTGGTGCTTATACATGTGAAACTCGCTATTTTAACTTTGGTAAAGATACAACAGGATTAAACGAAAACAAAGAGTTGAGGGCTAAAAGACTTATGGTTGTTCAGATGAGTTGATTCGTTCAATTTAAACATTATAATTGTTTTGTTATTTTATTGTTTACAATAAATCAGTCGATTATCGTCGTTATTTTAAAAATGTTGTCTTGTTAATATTTAAAAACATTGAAGACAGTTTATTTAGAACTATAAAAAAATGATACAGGGAATAATTAACTGTTTTTTTTACAGCTTCCACTTGATTTTATATATTCAAATAGTATTAATACTATAAAATGTATAATACTGTTACCATAAAGACTAAAAATGCTACATCGAGACTTTTTTTGTTTGAGGTGGTAATTTGTATTATATATATTATTATACTTTTTAATATAATGATATTAGTTATAATTTATAATATGAATTATTATATATTTTTAATAATATATTATAATTTATATTATTATATATATACTATATAAAATATATAAGTATTATATTATTATACACTTAAGTTTATTGAATCAGGGTCCTCCTTTTTCAAAAAACCAGCCACCACGTTTCACCACATCAACAAAAAATGACACGTGTTAATAGAATGTAATTTTTATTTTTTACTTAAAACAATTAATTATTCCAGGACAACTTTTGCTTTTAGGTAAAAAAAACTTCAACTGTTTTAAAATCCTTTTTTTACAATCATAAACTACTTAATTGTTATCAATATAATATAAAACTAAAATAACAACACAATTTATTATTTATTAAAAATTTATTTAATAATTATAATTTTTAAATAACAATACAACTATTTGAGAATTCGCTTACTCTTTTTGTTAATGTTTGATGACTCGAACTTACCTTTTCAAGTACTTCAACGCCATACTGCTTAACCGAGTCAGCACATAGAGATATAATATCTTTTAACACGTGATATTTTGATACTATGTTATTGGCAGCAAACAACATTAAATTCATTTGTGAGTTTTCTTCCTCCATCAACTAAACTTTTATCACAACTTTTTAATGTGTGGTTGTGGTGTTACAATTCCGAATGATTTGTAGTGACCGGCTTATTGACCCACATTGTATACATTTCAAC